GACCATTTTAAATACTTAATATAATTACAACAAGCGCACAATTCAATCACACGAAGGACTAATTCAATCAATTTCTTACAAATTTAAACTTACGAAATGGCATTTAATAAATTTAGCTTCGAGAACTCTTAATTTATAAACAATAATGTTTTTGTTTTTTTTTAAATTGAAGTAATGCAATCATAAATCTTCTCTAAAGGAGTATATTACTGATAACTTATTTATTAAGCATTGGATAAAGAAAAAGAAAGAATTTATTAAAAATTATTTATTGAATAAAATATAACATGCATGATATAAACTATTCCTATAATACAAATTAGATATTTATTTCGTAACGTGGGTTGGTTTGTACGCAATCTTCAACGTAGAATTTTCTGTCGATCCCTTACATCAGTTCGTCGTATACATCGCTGTCATCACTTTCAGTGTCTTAAACATATAATGAAAAATTGTTAATTTTACATAAACAAAGGAATTTCTAGAAAAGTTAGTTAGTACAATGAGACCAACCAAAATAACTACAAATGAGGTAAATTGTAAAACATAATTTCAAAATTGCTTAATTAATATCAATAAAACTAAACAGCATTTATTAAAAATGTAATAGATACAAAAAAAAATGATAAGAGCTATAGTGATATGATAATTATTACTAACAAATAAATATATGTTAGTGGGGAAAGGAGACAAATAAAACATATTTATTCAGATGATCTTTGTTGGGATTCAGATGAGTAATCATGGGTAGAAAATCTAGTTCAAGTTTATATACAAAACATGGTACATATTCTTATAAATATTTTTAAAAAAGGTAATGATTGCTATAAATCTATGTTTAGCATAATAAATATTGACTCACCAACGCATGGCAGAGGTGCCCCGCCATATTTGGTCAGCAACTTCTGGACCAATCTTCCACCGGATCCGGCAGTAGCTACTCTAATTGGTAAATCTCCGGTTTTCAGGGGTACATCGGGCATTTGCAGTTTCTTCCCTCTATGAAAGAATACCATACTGTTTCTTCGAGCCGCAGACAGGAAGTACTTGAGAACACGTATGGACGTCATACGCGACCCGAAATCCGTCCTGTAGCTAGATGTGTTCAGAGCACCTGAGACATAAAAATAATCAACATTATTAATTTTAAAAAATATATATATGAAACAATAAACGATTTATATTTTGGAGTTGTACTCACCGGAGAAAAGACGGTCGAAGCAAGACTCGCATCCGTATATAGTATTTAGTAGCTCGCAAAGAGTAGAATCATCTTGGAGCCGGAACTCTTGGGCAATTCTTGTCGCGACGTACAGCCCGTCGTGGTACACACCTCGATCGCATCTTCCGTTGATCGCGACGACTTCTGTATGATGATCCATCAGGGAGGACACGACAAGTTGACAAGTTATCTGTGGCTGCAGGCTGCTCTGGATCAAGCTCTTGCAGATGACATAGAGGTGGGTCTTTGGTGAACTGAAAATATATATAAATTAATTAACAATTGAAGACTTAATTGAGAAATAAGTGGTGAATGCACAAAAGAATAATCAAGATCTGATCCATCCTCCAAAAAAAAAAATGAAAAAAATATTTGATACGATATTGCGCTCCATAGTATGCTTCTCAAGTTTTCAGGATATGACATACTGGAAAAGTTTCAGAGATTTCTCATTAAGAAATCGTTGCCTCAAACGAAATCAAATAGTATGATTTATTTAAAAACAGACCCGAATCCACTTGAGGTATTCACATTGCAGTTCCATTTTAAGTATTGTCTTAACTTGCTGTGCCTGCCTGAAAGTCGTCTCTCCAGGGTTATCAACATTGACATGATTAAAGGTAATACCTTTTGGTTTCAAAATTGGTGCTATTTGGCGGGAAGATAATCTTGCAGGTTCGATAGATCTTTTTCGTTATGGAAAGATCAGTTTGCAACAATACGTCCTGTAAGCGATACCACTTAGCAACATCGGGAGCAGTTTAAATTAGCGGTATAAAATTCTGATCGATTTCTATTTTATAGAGGATTGAGTCATGATCTTAAAGTTTTAAAGTTCGTGGATGGCTGCTGTTGGGATTTATTTGAATTACACCCCATGGCTTGATACGGAAAATAGAGACTATCCACTCTTTAACCTACCAGTAAAGTAAGACCTGCTCCATTCTTTAGCCGAATGTTCAATGCTTAGTCAAATTCGTATCGAATTTCTTGCAACTAGTCCGGTTCGAAATGATGTCTTAATTTCCCTTCTAAACGCCCCCTCCGTGAACGAATGCCGTAAAATTGTCAGCTTTCCTCGGAATAAAATGAAATTAAAATATTTTTTTATTATCCTGGGACTGTTGTCCCTTTAGAACAAATTACAGATACAGAATAAATTCCTGTGTGGCCATACATAAAATTAATTATTTACATTTAGATTACATCAAAATTAAGATTTTGAAAAAATAATAAAACAAAAAATAGAACTATTACAATAAAAACATTCTGATATGTATAATAAAAACGTGGGAAAATAAAATAGCATAAGTAAAGAAAATCATTTCTGGGGGAACTTTAAAAGTTCTCTTATCTACATTTCATGATCAATCGGGTTGGAAAAGGAGTAGGTGGTTAAAAAGGAGACGGAGAGATTCCAGAACGAGAATAAAGGATTTGTCAAACGCTGCAGTTCGGTGGGGAGGTGGATAGAGGTCGGAGGTATGAGATCTAGTGAGACGGGATTGAATGGAATATTTGAATTGTAGGTTGTGAAAAATATAGGAAGGCCGCTGAGTTTTGATGACTTGGTATAGAAAAGTGGCAAGGAATTACAGACGGCGGTTGGATGGATAGAGCCACTTCAACTTGGTATAATACTGGGTTATATGCGTATCTTAGAGATTCCGAAGACAAAACGTATTGGGCAGTTCATTAGGCGTTCAAGTTTGGCTTCGAATTCTCCCGAGAGTCCTACACCAGACAACCATAGTCGAAGTGGGGGAACACAAGGGAGGAAACCAGGAGTTGACGGGATTTATATGGAAGGAGATAGCGGAGACGTTTAAACTGTTTCAAGGTAGAGATAGTACGACGAGAAATTTGGGAGATGTGTGGTTTCCAGAAGAAGGTTTGATCGAATGTAACACCAAGGTTTTTTACGGAAGTATGGAATGAGATAGGTGAGTTGTTCAGGAAAAGGTTGGGGAGTATCTGTATGGATTTGAGGAGTGAGGGAGATCCGATCAGAATGGCTTTCGTCTTAAGACGAAATGCGTGGATACACCGTCCTAATTTGCTACATCCAGCATAAACAATGATCCGCCTAATTTATTTGTGGTCAGTATTATTCATGTTATTGTCTACATTTTCCTTTTATTATTATTTCTTAGATATCAATTATTCAAAATATTTATTATTTTATATTTGTATTTGTTGTTTTAGTATTTATCAAATATTCATGCATATGTAATAATTAATTAAATATAAATAACTGAAAACAAAAATTTAAAGTGTTTATTTGAACTGTACCAGTAAAACATATAAAATTACCGGAAGGTGAATAATCATAACGTATAAATATTCTGTAAAATTTATAATTTATATATCTATATAAATAAATTAAAGATTTTGTCTGTACATTGAATAGAATCAACCCATTTTATGATATAATTCCGTTTCATACATTGCAGAAACCAAATCCACTTTTAAAAAAATATTTGTCTGTATGTATGTCCGCATTGCAACAAAATTTTGTCAGGAGTAAGGTCTAATGGTAGACCTTTAAAATTTTGACATTATCTTTAGGCTTGCTTCACTTAAAATATATGCTTGAAATGAAAACACAATATTTAGTAGAACAAAAGTTATGAATTCTTGATCAATTTGTTAAGCAGTTACTTCGATTCTAATCCTAAGGCTACTCTATCGCGAGCCACATTTAAAAGTTGTACTATTTAACTGATGGAAAAAATTATCACAACTCAACGGGAAAAATACGGAATAGCGAACATCTGTAACGCGTTGTCAGGTAAAACGGGTAAATACACTCATTCTTCAACTTTGCCTGATCTTCCCGTTCAAAGTTTCATTCGATTCAACTTTCTGAGCCTAACAAATGTTGACATATACATTTTTGGATTAACCAAACGGATTAGCAGGAAAACAGGAAAAATATCAAAAAATTTCACCCCGCCCGCCACAATATTCAGATCAAGTTCTAATTTTACACGGATGTAGGCGGCTCAATGTCCAATGTTATTTTGCTAGCGATAAACTCAGCAGAGTTTAAACAAGTGGAGAGACTACTCTTTTTGATTAATTAATCGACTCCACAATCCGCTTCATCATAAATGAAAATTAAACATTTAACAAATTTGAATGGATCGGTGGTGGTCGGTCTAGTTGTGTGGTACCTAAACAAATAGCCGAATAACAAAGTTTTTGTGAAACCTATAAAAAAATTCAAAACAACTCTCTTCCCCCTCCCGACCCAATTTTATGAAATTTAATTTGGCTCTCCTACTCCCATAATAAAAAATCCATCTAAAAAAAAAAAAAGATTCTTAAATTTTAACTATACACCCCTCAACGATGGGTACATCAGCTAGTATTCAATAAATCATTAATAATAAAAATAAAAAGAGAGAATATTTTTTATTACCAGAATTTAAGTCCATTCAGCGAAGACTGCAGTCTTTCTATATCCTCGATCTCCAAACTAGGATATTTTTCACAGCTGCAGTAAGTTACTATTCGCCCTGTTATTTCGTTCCACATTATCTGAAACTTGTAACCAAGCAGAACATATAGATACATGTCAACGATGTACAAAGTACTGACTTTGTACATGTACTGACTTTGTATAACCAAAGTATACCTGGTCTCCCCCCCCCCTCCCCTCTACCTTGAACTAGCCACTCAGAGAAAAGGTTCAAAAGATGTTGCCGGTAATGGAGTGGGGGTATTAATAATTATAAAGAAATGAATTTAATTTATATATTCTTTGTTTCTTCTATTAATCATTAATTATCTTGTTATTAATTACAAGGTTGCTGTTTAATCCAAATTTCATAATGTCTGCTAAATACTCACATGATTTATTAAATATATGAAATAATCATTTTTTAGAAAAGTTAAACATCTCAAATTTTGCATTTAATACATACTATAAGAGTATATTAAAAAATAATGAAATATCTAAATATATTCTTTGCCTCATTTACTATGATGTAGTTAGTAATTATCTCATTTAAATGTTTTTTCAGTTATAGCTTACTGGTCAACAAAAAACGAGATTTACTAAAAAGAGTAAATAACAATACCTTTCTATTTTCATCTACGTATATGTGTAATATATAGTAAGGACAAGTATTGCGATCGAAAAAATTTTTTAATCAGATTTTTCAACGAAAATAGACGTGATAGTCCAGTAACCAAGTCCCGAAAAACGGTCTGTGTGTTTACGTTAGCAGTCTAGCTCAAAACGAAAAGTCGTACAAAACTGATATTACGTACTTTACCGGCTATTTCCTACCTTAAAAGCTATTCACGAAATTTCAGGCTGACATCAATAATTTTATAAAAGGGGGTCTGTACCATGGGCTATAAATCTTGCTTGTATCATGCATAGTTTAATATTGATTAAATTCGTTAAATAAGTTATTTATTGATGTCATATTTGACCAATTATCGATTTCTTTTTCAATTAAATTTTTTTTCTTCAAATATTTATAAATACCAATATGTGGCTGAGGGAGAAGCGTAGGGATCTCCTAGGCCTCCCTTTTCCCTCCACATGTGGAGGGGACAGGATTGGTTCGGAGATCACCTGGCAAATTGTAAATAATGTATGTTTTATATAAGGTGTTTGTTTTACTTTTATTTCTATTTTTATTTACTTATGTGTATATATATTTTTTTTTTTCTTTACTCTTTTGTTCTTTCTTCTTATTCTTTTGTTATTACTTTATTTATTTATATTTTTGTATATACGGTATGAATGCAATCTCTGAACTCTATTATAAGTGTCCTTAACTGTGACAAATTGTAATATTTCTGAATAAAGTGTTTTAATAATAAAAAATAAATACCAATATAATCTATTGTGTGACATCTGTATGGCATTATCGTGAATTAAAATTAGCTCCGTTTAAAATACACTTAAAAAATTTTATTATAGCCCTAGCATTGCCAGAAAATAATTTCTATTCAAAGTAGAGCGGTAAGTGAAAGCTGTGTCTTACGCGCACCAGATTTTTATTATTACTTCGTTATATTTTACATGAATTGGGACAAAAAATTATCGTATCACTTTTGACATAGCATTGTGATTAAAAAAAATAGAAGTCATTGTTTGTTTTATTTATTTTTTCCATTTATAGGATTCTATGTACTTTATTTTTTACATCATCTTTTCTTTTTTTTTTTCTCATTAATCGGAAAAGAATCCGTACCACTTTTGATGTATTATTGTAATGAAAAGAAAAATTATAATTCTGAAAATTAAATCTAATAGATTGTGTAAATTTCTTAATACCCAAGTGAATCCTAATCGATTTAAGAAAATATTTATTACGATAGATTTCCATATGAAATCAAACAATGAATCCAATGGTTCAATTTTTTTTAATTTCTAAATACCAATATCATCTATTGTGTGACATCTGGACGGCATTATCGTGAATTAGGAAAGTTTTTAATGTAGTCGGCATCGATAATTGGTCAAATATGGCATTAATAAATTACTCACTTAACGGATTTGGTCACTATTAAACTGCCCATGATGAAAGCAATATTTATAGCCCATATATAGTCGGCAAAATAGCTTTAAAGGCCGGAAATAGCCGGAAAAATATGTAATATCAGTTTTGTACTACTTTTCGATTTGAGCTAGACTGCTAACATAAACACACACAGACACACAGAACATTTGTCGGCACTTGGTTATATGCACTCAGGGTAAAAGTAAAAAGGAATTTTTATTTGCTCTTTTTATTAAATCTCGTTTTTTGTTAACCAGATCAAACGTATCTTAGTTTGAATAGTTTTATGGCGGTCGCGCTTCTACTATATCAGGTAGAAATGATATGGCCATTTCGACCAGGTACTCCCCAAAACTATATATTCAAAGGATATTTTGCCGACAATATAAGAGAGGTCTGTATGTAGCATGGGTTATAAATCTTATTTTCATCATGGATAGTTTAATATTGACCGATTTCTTCAAGTGAGTTATTTATTAATGCCATATTTGACCAATTATCGATGCCGAATACATTACAAACTCTCTTAATACGCATTAATGCTATACAGATGTCACTCAATAGATGATATTGGTATTTATATATTTTTGAAGAAAAAAAAATTGAATTGAAGAAGAAATCGATAATTGGTCAAATACAATTTTTACAGCTATTATACAGCTATTATTAAAGTCACAGCTATTATACAATTTTTGAATTGTATATTTAACGGGGCTAAAGCTTAAAGCTTACAGATAACAGTCATTAAGACCATTGTAATTACAAAATGTCTATTTAATATATCGATGGTAGCCAAATTTCATAATATCTGCTAAATACTCATAAGATTTATTAAATTTATGAAATAATAACTTCTTAGAAAAGTTAAACATCTCAAATTTTGCACTTAATATATACTATAATAGCATATTAAAAAATAATGAAATATCTAAATATATTTTTCATAAAAAAAATACATGTTTTCGCTACCTACTAATTCACCTCATTATATTTTGTATTTGGAATTCAATTTTAAACCCATATTCTTCTTTGCTTTGTCATTACATTTGAAATATATTTTAAAAAGGCTACTTTCTATACCAACATCAAGATTACCGAACATTTTGTCATACAAATGTTTCCAAAGTTAATAGTTAAGTTTTTGTCCATTTTATTATTATTATTTATTTTCATTGCATGTATTTTTAGGGCAACTCCAGGCAGACGGATCTATACCATTGCCACAAAAAAAAAATGTTTTGTTATTAAAAAAAAAAAGTAAAATTTATATTAAATAAAGCTTTCTATCTATATATCTATCTACTCGTAAGATTGTCTAAAACATAATTACGTTACGTTTACGACGATTTGACAAACATAGTAATTAGTTCAGTAGTATTCCAAAATTTTCTTAATAGTACCTAAAAGACCTTCCGACGCACTCCAGCTCCCTTGATTAATTCAGAAATAAGAGATTTTTTAATTTTTCAAAATTAAAATACGCAAAAATCAAAACGGTTTTCTTATCTCTGTTTTATATTTAGTTTTTGTCGAAGTTTCGCGATTACTAATTCCGAATCCGACCCACATTCTGCTCCGCGATAAGACCGTACATTAATTATACTACTTTGCCAGTTATGTATTATATTAAGACATGATCGATTTGATTTTGTGGTACATTATCTCTTTACAATAAACAAAAATAAATAATACTGAAACATAATAATACTAAATGTACATAAACAAAAGTAATCAAAATAACAAATTAAACAGGTGCATACTTGTTAATAATATTAGTGAATAAAATTGTTTCTGCTATTTTAAAATTTATTTATTTTTATCCACAAATATTTCATGACAGCACTTTATAAACCACTATCATGCTATATATTTTTAAAACATTTTCTAAATATCATTAGACAATTTATTCTAAAAATTAAATCTAATTATTTTATTGTTACATTATCTTTTGACGTAGCATTGTGATGAAAAGAAAAATAATAATACATTCTAAAAATCAAATCTAATAGATTGTATGAGTTTCTTATTACCAACGTGTATCCAAATCGATTTTTAAGAAAATAGGGATTAAGATCAATTTCCATGTAAAATCAAGCAATGAATTCAATGGTTCAATTTTTTTTTCTTCAAAAATTTATAAATACCAATATCATCTATTGCGTGACATCTGTATAGCAATATTGCGTATTAGGAGGGTTTGTAATGTATTCGGCATCGATAATTGGTCAAATATGGCATTAATAAATAACTCACTTAAAGAAATCGGTCATTATTAAACTATCCATGATGATAACAAGATTTATAACCCATGCTACATACAGGCCTCTCTTATATTGTCGGCAAAATATCCTTTTGAATATATAGTTTTGGGGAATACCTACACTTCTACCTGATATAGTACAGCGCGACCGCCATAAAACTATTCAAACTAAGATACGTTCGATCTGGTCAACAAAAAACGAGATTTTCTAAAAAGAGCAAATAACGATTCCTTAACGTAAAATAACGAATTTTACCCTGAGTGCAAATAACCAAGTGCCGACAAATGTTCTGTGTGTCTGTGTGTGTTTATGTTAGCAGTCTAGCTCAAAACGAAAAGCAGTACAAAACTGATATTACATATTTTTCCGGGTATTTCCTGCCTTAAAAGCTATTTTGCCGACTATATATGGGCTATAAATATTGCATTCGTCATGGGCAGTTTAATAGTGACCAAATCCGTTAAAAGAGTTATTTATTAATGCCATATTTGACCAATTATCGATGCCGAATACATTAAAAACTTTCCTAATTCACGATAATGCCGCACAGATGTCACTCAATAGATTATATTGGTATTTAGAAATTATAATACCAATAATATGATTTTAGTGATATTTTTAGTTGAAAAAGTTTATTTTTAATCTATCTAAATTTTCGCTCTTCGGGGAAAACAATTAGAGACCATATCTTTCTTCCTAATTGTCCGATTTTAAGGATGTTTTTTTTTTTTTAGAAAACTCCATAAACTTTTAAAAAATCAGACAATATCCACAGAAAAATGTATACTTTTTGAGTTATTCGGAATTTAATTTTACCAACCCTCGTAACTTTTTTTCCCGCTTCGTTTCGTTGAAATATGACATATGGATAAGTTTAAACGGTGTCAAGAAAATGACTTTAGTGAAGTTTCAATGAAATAGGTACTTTCGTTTAGGCGCTACAGTCTATAGCAACACGGGTTTTTCTGCATTTTTTTTTTTCCTTTATTAACTTATAAAATTCTTTCAAAAGTTATATGTAGCATATTTTCGTAAATCTGACTAATGCTAAATGATTAACTTTTTAAAATAAACCATATTAAAGGCACTTTAGAGCAAGTCATATATGAACATTGGGCATTTAAGCCTTGTAAGTTGACATAAGGTGACAACGGGGATAAGACCTAAATGATATTAAAGACTACTTAATTATACAATGATACACCAAGTTTAATCAAAATTGTTAGAGCCGTTTTATAGAAAATTGTTTAAATGTGTTTCAGAGTTCATATGAAGTGGCACTTCTGATTAGCCGATTTTAAGGAAAAAATTGTTAGGACTTCTAAGGCATATAACAATCTTAAATACTTAATATCCGTTTCGTACTACTTTTCGTTTATGAGCTAGACTGTTGACACACACACAAACAGACCATTTCGCGACACTTGGTTATTTGGACTCAGGGATCTCAAAACATGTATTTCCGTTGAAAACTGAGATTCGAAAATTTTCACGATCTCAATACTTACCCTTGCTATATAATAAAATAAAATATACGTAAGTGAAAGTAAAAAATTAATAATCCATGCCGAACACATACAAACCTTCTTAACGAAATTATACCGTACACATCTCACACAATAGATGATAATAGTATTTATTAATTCGAAAATTTTTGAAAAATTAAATTGAACCATTGAATTCATTGCGCGATTTTATATTTATATTTTATATTTTCTTAAAAATCGTTTAGGGTTCACTTTGGTAATAAGAAACTCATACGATCTATTAGATTTAATTTTTAAAATTATTATTTTTCTTTTCATCACGGTGCTACGTCAAATGTGATACGGATAATTTTCCAATTTATAAGATATAAACAAATCTGGTGAGCGCAACACACAACTTTCACTTACCGCTCAACATTGAATAGAAATTATTTTATGGCCGTCGAAAATTTTATAATAGCCCAACATAGCTATAAAATAATTTCTATTCAAAGGAGGGCGGTAAGTGAAAGTTGTGTGTTGCGCTCACCAGATTTTTTTTTTTTCAGTTTGTATAACTTTCAACTTCATATTTTTATCGAGTTTGCATATTTATTTTATTACTCGGAAACATTTTTCTATGGTTGCAGTGGAGATTTTTGAGTAATTTGGTTTTATATATTTATTTTAACAAAAAAAAAATTATTTATTTATTTATTTGATTTTTTGTTACCTCTACCGTGTAGGGTCATTGGCAACACCTTTGAATTACACTCTGTTGTAGAGTTTTATTACTTTTAAAAACCATAAAGTTTTTTTTTTACTGCACTTTCACTTTCTTGTAGGTTTTCTTTTAGACTATGTGCCATGTCTAACGTTTTCCTTGTAGGTTCAAATGTAGGGCAGTCTTGAATAATGGGCTTTACTGTCCTTTGGACATTGCAGTTCTCGCAGGTCGGAGGATCAAGTCCTCTTAGTTGGTAGGAGTGCGAGAACTCACAATGTCCAATTCGCTGTCTGCATTTGCAATTGGCCAATTGGCTGTCTCCTCTTTTCGAGATGGTCGGTGCGAGGTTTCCCATTTTAAACAGTGGGGTTTAATTTCTTTCAATTTCGATTCTCCTTGTTCCCATTTGTTTTGCCACATGGTCCACACATTCTCCTTAATTTTTATAACGTAATCCTCTAGAGGGATTTCATTAATTGATTCCACGGATATTGTATCTGGCTTTCTTGCCATGTAACAGTAAACAGAACATTTCTTATTACCGAATATTTTGCCTAAAGAAATAATAAAACAGAAAATATTGTGGCACAAAGAAAACACTGGGCTCTGTAATAGAATAATTAATTGCACAATAGAATACACTAGTGATAAAATAATTCCCAATATTTTAATTAAATTAAAAAATAATTGTATAGTGGATATGAAGGAAAAAGCAAGTGTGTCCAGATTTTATGATATTTATAAGGATTTAAGCAGAGACTTAGGTGAAAGGCATTACATATCAGATGTAAATAAAATGCATAAGTAATATTTAAATTCAATATCATCTATTGAATGACATCTGTATAGCATTATTGCGAATTAAGAAGGTTTTTAATGTATTCGGCATCGATAATTGGTCAAATACGACTTTAATAAATAACTCACTTAAAAAATTCGGTCAATAAACTATCCATGTTGATAACAAGATTCATATCCCATACTTATTTATAGACCCCTTTTCATATAGTCGGCAAAATATCCTTTGAATATAGTTTTGGGCAATACCTGAACGAAATTGCCAGTTCCCTTCTACCTGTTATAGTACAATTCGACCGCAATAAAAATACTTCCGTTCGAACTAAGATTCTAAGGTTCTTCTAATACCAGGCGGTTTATTAGTATTTACAACATGGCATAACTCAAAGAAAGGTATAGCTTTAGAGAAAAGCTTTGCAGGACTTTTTTATTATTGTTGTCTAAGTTTAGGGGGGGTATAAAAGTCTCCTTTGGTATAGTATTGACAAATACAATTTCTACTTGCATTTTATGACAATTTTGCCTAATTTACTATGATGTAGTTGTTAATTAGCTCAGTTAAATATTTTTTTAGTTATAGCTTTCTGGTCAACAAAAAACGAGACTTTTGAGTGCCTAAATTAAACTGGGTCCCGTTTTTAAAAAAATAATATATTATTTGCGATTTGTTTTTTATCATCTTGTAACTATACTACAGGCGTGGATGGTAAATATTCAGAAAGCAGTCTTCTAAAAAAAAAAAGAAATTATTTTTTAATTTTTTTTTATTTTATATTAATTAAATTTAAAAAAAAAATGTCATGCTATGTAAAACAGTTGACTAACTTCCTTCAATATAGTACAGATAAATCACTTTTAGAAAAACTTTATCGTATAATAAGCTTTAAGTACATATTTAATTAAGTTAAAGTTTACAAGTAAAAGTTGATATTCACCTCAAATTTTTTAAAATAAATATGTGATTTTATGTCCTATCATCTAAACGTATACTTTGAAGTATAGTTTTCAGCAAAAATGAGTACAATACATTATTGCAAAGCTTTTATTCCTTCCTTTTTTTTCCGTGGGATTTTTTAGTAATAAAAGCTCTTTAAACTTTTAAGTGCGATCTTGGTCAAATCAACTCCTTGCACAACCGTCGACCTAGAAATTTGCTTTCCCTAAATATTACTGAACCTAAGACAATTCATGGGTTGTAGTGGTACAGTTTTTTTAACTCTATTTTCATTTAAAGTAAAGTTTTTCTAGTTTTCGGTGTAGCAATTGTTAATTACTGAAAGTAAACATTTCTTTAATTATCGCTTCCTATTCAACAAAAAACACGACATGGAATTACTAATTTTCTGCTGAAAATTCGACCATTGTTTATATGAACTTTTTTGGGAGATCTTGAGTTCTGCCATCGTTCCTATACAAAGTTTCTTCTATTTACGAAACATCCTGTATGTATATTTAAATTTTTGAAGTTTCCGATTTAGCCCAATCCATATACGTATCCTTCCATAAAAAACTTAAAAAACCATCCGAATCCTCTGGTTTCAAACCTTGCTTCCTCTTTGATACCTGATAACCCTCCAAGGCGTCTGAAAAAAAGATGGCCTCGTGATCTACTTATGTAAATTTATTATTAGAGTGCTACCAATGGGTAGCAACAAGCGTTTTCATGTGATTGTATTATTACCTTGTGCACATTTACATTATCTATTTTTAATTTATACAGTTTATACAGTAAATCTCATGAATAAATAAAAAATAATTTTTTTTAATATTGCATTTCTTGAATTTTAACATCTAGTTCATTATCCTCAATGGATTGTATCTATTCAAAAACAGATACATACATTGATTAAAGTATGTTTATTAATTTCTTCTCCAAGATGCTAAACGTTTCAGAATTAAAGTTATTCAATCCGACTGCTCCTACACTTACTAGATAAACGCTCTAAACTTTCAATTAATTACAAAAAACTTATCTACATAACTATAATAAGACCTATATGGACATACGGAGTTGAGCTTTGGGGCTCCACCAAACCATCGAATTCATTGTATCCAATCCTTACAATCCAAAATATTCCATAAAATTCTTACTGCTCCATACTTTGTCACAAATAAAACCATTCATAAAGACCTTAATGTACCATATGTCGCTGATTTAGCTCGAGGCTGATATCTATCCTTACACGATAAACTCCAGTCCCATCCAAATCCCCTTGTTCCCACCATTGCTTCTTCCTCGATTCCTGATGATCCTCCTAGGCGTCTGAAAAGGAGATGGTCTCGTGATCTTCTTACCAAGAATTATTCAGGGAGAGCTACTACTGGGTACTATGTCTTCAAGCCTGTTCATGTCATTATTTCTAATTTGTGCATATTTACAAGTTGTATTTGTATACAGTTCATTAAATAAACAAAAAAAAATGTTATTCAAATTTCTACTGTGAGTACAGTAATTAACATCACCATCTAACTTCTCTGCAATGCCCATAGTCTTAAATATCGTCCTGTGTAAATTCTTCTTCTTCTGTAACAACTGAACGTAATCGAAATCAAATTCTTTTTTAAAAACTGTAAAATGCTGAGCTAATGCAGTGTTAGTCACCTTTTTAATAATATTCCTGTAATCTTATTGATGCTAATATATTCTTCTGAGCAAAGTTTGTGACCTTTCACCAATATACTTTGGAACAATGCAGGCATCTATCTTAGTAAACTACCTCTTGCTATTTTATAATAGTATAATAGTATATTATATTATACTAATAGTTTATTTAAAACTTTTTTTTTTCAAATACAGAGATTCAAACATAATTGCCTTAGGATAACTCTATTTCCGCTATAATCTTAAAAGAGAGATACTTTTTTTTCTGAGGTATATAAGTAAGATTTAATAACAATATGTTTTTTCCCAATAATTTTTCTTTATTTTATTATTACGTTTCGGGATTCACTTTCTTATACCATCTTCAGACAGTATCTCATCTTATTTTTTTTTATAAGTTTGTCATAATTATTTTTTTATTGTCATAACTCATTCCTTAAACAATATTGTGGACTCCTATGGGAAAAGCCTAGTCAAATACTGTCTGAAGATGGAATAAGAAATTGGATCCCGAAACGTCATAATAAAATAAAGAAAAATTATTGGGAGAAAAAATATTGTTATTAAATCTTACAAATATATATAAGTTTCAGTTAACTTCGTCTACGTGATCAGCTGTTTTTATATAACATTCTTTTGATGTGCATTTTCATTTCTTTTTTTTTTTTGTACATATTATTATTTATTTTCTTATTATTATTTATATTTTCTTTAGCATAGTTATTTATTTTTCTGATAGTTATACGTTCTCCATCTGTCTTTATGTTTTCATCAGCTGTTTTTATATAACATTCGTTTGATATGCATTTTCATTTCTTTTTTTTTCTTTTGTACATATTATTATTTATTTTCTTCTTATTATTTATATTTTCTCAGGCATATTTATGTATTTTTTTTTTTTGTAGTTATACGTTTTTCAACTGTCTTTATTTTCCGATCGGCTGTTTTATTATAAAATTTATCAGCTGTTTTTATATAACATTCGTTTGATGTGCATTTTCATTTCTTCTTTTTTTTCTTTTGTACATATTATTATTTATTTATTTATATTTTCATAAGCATATTTATTTATTTTGTTTGGTAGTTATGCGTTTTTCATCTGTCTTTATGTTCTGATCAGCTGTTTGATTATAATATTTATCAGCTGGTTTTACATAACATTCTTTTGATATGCATTGTCATTTCTTTTTTTTTTCTTTTGTACATACTATTATTTATTTTCTTATTACTATTTATATTTTCATAAGCATATTTATTTATTTTGTTTGGTAGTAATACGTTTTTCATCTGTCTATATGTTCTGATCTGCTGTTTGATTATAATATTTATCAGCTGTTTTTATTTATCTTTCTTACAGTATGCGATTGGATGTCATGGAGTGAAGTGATCTCGGGGGTGTTTTCTTTTCTGTTCTGGTGATGCATGAATTGATGAAAAGTTGAAGATTTATTGTTCGCCTACACTTGAAAGAAGAATACTATATTGTTGGAATATTTCCGTTTATGACCTGACATCGATTTTCTATCTCTCGGTGAGTTTTTACTCGTTTACATTCCTATAGTAAGTTCGAAACACATTTAATCTTACATCGGCGTTATATAATATAATTGCAATAAAATCTATTTAGTTTTCCTTTAAATTATATTGGAGCAGAACTGGTACATCGTGAAATAAAAAAAAAAAAATTGGTTGTCGGGACCACTAGTCCTAATAAATCAAAATTTAACTTTTTTTGCTCAATAGCTTTTCTTTTTTTTTTAAATAATAATAATTTATTACATTTGTATGATAGTGAAAATATTTGAGAAACTCAGTATGAATGAATGTATGAAATAAATTCAAAGCTATGGCAATAAATTAAAATAAAGCAAAAATATAAAAAACTTTAAATTGCAATATACAGGAATCTATTATTTTGGTAAGAATTATAAAGATAAAGTTCTTAAACTGATATGCAGGACCATTTGAAGTGTTGAGTATATAATTAGAATAATAATAAATGTGTTCCTTATGTTATAACAATTAAATAGAAAAGGTTATAAACTTTTTAGTCACTAAACAATTTAAAGCGATCTATCCATAGTCCAACGTTGAACATAAGTTTCTTTATTGTGCGTATAATTTTTGTCACATCTTCCACTACTTCGAACTATCAATACTTCACTTCTATGCAATTTTAAAATTACTTCTTAATAATTATTTTACTGTTGTTTATATCTGGATTTTAATGCATATTTATAAAAATTAATCATTACTTTTATATTTAGCTAGACTACTTAAATCAGTTTCATACTGCAATACAAAATATCACCTTTATCGCAAAGAGAATAAACATATCAAAGTGTTATAAGCTGAGTTATTATTGTCTTAATTTTTATTTTTATTTATATTTTTACAGACTGGTTGGGAAGAATGAACCATCCTCCTCCGGCTAATCCTCTGAAGATAGAAGCCTGGATTCAACTTGTACCACAGAGGGTTTGGTGTTCTGTAGAGGACCTCCAAGGAGATCCTGAGATCCACTCGATGGCGGATGATTGCTCTCAGTAGAGGAGACAATCCGTTCTCCGGAGGACCTGGCAGGCCACCTTCTGAGGTTCTTCTCGTTCCCTCCTGAGCGGTGAACCGGCCTCGCTCTTGCAGGGCGGTCGAGGAGGTTCGAGTCCGGCCCTTCTGTGCTCTGCTCATCTCGGGCAGAGTCCACGGTCTTTGGCGCTCTTCGGGTCTTCGACCTCTTCCGGGCGCTCCGCTCCGGCACTTCTCTCCTTCTCCCGGACCTTCTCTTCTCTTTACCGAGTCTTTTTCTCGAGGTTACTTTTGCCCGATCGGATGTCGCGATCTAGCGGGAGGGTCGAAGGAAGATGGGATCAAAGTGTTCCGCGGTCCGTCGTGTTTGGGAGTTCGAATCGTATCATCGAAGCGATGTCACAACTGATCAGTTTTTGTGTCACAGTTGTACACGAAGGAGGGCATCGCTCAACTTGCAGAAGTTGCAAACTGAAAGTATTTTGTAGTGGTTGGATTTCTTTAACGGGGTCTGTTATAATATTCAAACTCTTAGCAATCTAAGCGCATTATAACTGTAAATTAAAAAAAAAAAAAATTTAATTTATCTGGAGATATCGTCGCATCTGCTAGGATATCATACAAATTATTTACATTAGCAGATGTCTTCTCAAAATAAATTGCGGAAAACTACAATATATCCATTCTTGGCTGATTAAATCTCTTTTCCAGACTTTCATTAGTGATGCTCCATCTTTCAGGTGCTAAAGAAAATCAATGCAAGTTGATATAGTAGAGTGGTATTAAATTTGAGGGAAAGCTTGTTTTGATATTTTTTTGGCACCTGAAAAAGGGGCTTTGTTTATACATTAATAGTCAAAAATCCAATGAGCTAATACTTTATTGTTGTTAATTTCAGGCAGCAACCTAGTGCTATGTTAATATCAAAATCATACTTACATACTTTATTTCAACAACCTCAAATCATATAGATCTGATCAAAGCTCAACACTTGGTAAATCATTGACTTTTATTAGTCATGGTACAACGCTCTATCTTTCAGGTGCTGAAGGAAAATCAATCAAAGCTAGATATATTAGAGAGGTATTAAATTCGAGGGATAGCTTGGTTTGATATTTTATTGACACCTGTAGAGGGGGTTGTACTAAATACACTAATAGTTAAAAAGCCAATGATAATGGATTTTCTGGCAATCATTAATCCATATCAGGTAGTAACCTTATAATTTTATTTTAATATACTGTTGTTGAAAACATATCTTTTTTACTTTCAAAGACCCCAAACCATATAAGCTGATTAAAGCTCCCGATCCAATATTGGTTTTTATTATGTATGATTTAACGTCCTTTTTTTAAGGTGCCAAAGGAAACTAAACCAAGCTAGATATATTAGAGAGGCATTAAAATCAAGGGATAGATTGGTTGGTATTTAACTGGCACCTCAGAAAAAGGTTTTTTTTTTCTCATATGTATCAATACCTAAAAAGCCAATAATTAAAAAAAAAGATGTATTTATGTAGTATTTGGTACATATTTCATATAGCAACCCTCTCGAGAAGCAACAGTAACATAGAATTCCAGATATGATTTATATCTACACCTTACCAAAATTGTTTATTTCAGCCTTTGATGGATATTCCCTGTACGTTCTTCACGGATATATAATTTTAAGATACGGTTTTAACAAAATTAGGTAGTACACTTGTTTAAATGAATCATATCAAAATTCCTTGAATCATGGAAGTCCATATAAATCTTTTTTTTTAAACTACATTCTTACGGGAAAGTTAGTTTCGAATTCACTTTTCAGTTTCGACTTTTGTTAATTGTGCAATGTTCTTCTTCTTGTACAACTATGATACGAAAATCGCTCAGTTAGTTACATCACTTCGATGGTGCGATTCAGATTCCCTACCCGATGAATAGTAGAATACTTCAATCTCTTCTTCCTTCGACTTTTCTGTTAGAACGCAACATCTGTTCGAGTCGGAGTATCTTCGAGAGGAAGGGTCGGTTCGGAGAGGTAAAGATCCGAGAGAAGGGGAATAATGCCGGAACGGAGTGTTCAGAGATGGTCGAGGACTCGGAGAGCATCGGTGGCCTTGGATCCTCTCCCTGTATGGGCAGAGTGCCGAAGGGTCGGATTCGGTTCCTCCCGACCGTCCTGCAAGAGCGAGGAGTCACTGCTCGCGTGGGACGAGATGGGCTTCAAAAGGTGGTTTGCCTGGTCTTTCACAGTGCGAATCGTTTCGTCTGCCATGAAGAGTCCTCCGCTGTCAAGTGGATTGCAGGACTTCCTCGAGTAACCTCCACAGAACATCACATCCTTTGTGTTACTGGCACGATGGAAGGAGTAAGAATATGGATTGAGGAGTCGGAATAAGCGATGATAGTGGATGCAGCACGAATGCGGTAAGTCGTTTACAATAAATTGATACAATAACTAACTTACTGTAATATTTTTAATTTTTATATTCTAATATGATGCATTAAATTTCTAATGGATTCTTTAGTACTACATCCTAAACGGATCTCATTATATTATTAATTCTGGTCTTTGATAGAAAAGGGATACCCCATAATACAAAAATCATTTGAAAGACATCACCATTTAACGTATATTTTTGAGACATGAAATTTGTAACATCCAAAAGAAATTAAAGTTATTTGTAACTGACTGTTATTGAAATACATTACACGATTTTTTAAAATGGTAGAATTTGTTTTGTTTTTTCTTATTGAAGTATCTTTACTTCACAATTTACAAAACTGAAAGTATAGAGATCATTTTTAATTGTTTTTTTTCTTGAACATTTGTTTGTACCGTTGGCTCTTTATGCTATAAATGATTTTTTTTTTTTTAATACATGGCTATATTTCTCGTTAGTCCATTTAATGAGGCTGGAAGACAACAAGAATAAACTTTTTCATTCTTATTTAAGTAATACATAACCTCTCGAAAATGTTAAACATAAGATAAATAAAATATATTGTTTTAAAATATCAATAATTTTCGTATCGATTTGTAAAATATTCAGGGTTTTATGAATATATTTTAAAATATAATTATTCAAGGCTAGAAATAAAACTTTAGTAACAAATATAGTAATATTAAAAAAATAAAAAAAATGTGCCACTACATTCCATAAATGATCGTAGGTTCAGTACTGGGGTACTCGGGTTCATTACTACTGTAAGAAAGTACTGTTACTTGATCAACGGTTGTGCAAATAATTATCTCGTTAATGACACCCATTTTATAGAGGCTGGATGTGCCTCAGGAGGGTCCTATCCCAGGATCGATCTATATCCAATGAAACAGTATAAATAATTTATCTGCTATCAGCTGGATTCAAACCCGAGTCATTGAGAACTCAGGAAGTCAGCACCCTGCCACTGAGCTAACCCACTCCCTATACTAATATAAGATATTTATTTTTATATATATTTAACGGTTGAGATAATGGAAATCTAGTATTCCTTTTACTTAAATATCGTCAGTCACTTTTATTAAATGTTACTTTTAGTCAAATAAAAGTTATTATTTAGAAATCCTACGACACAGCAATTTTAGCAAGACACAAAAATCCAACATACGCCTCACAGACTCTACAACAGTATTAAACAAGATTACATGACTGGTTAAAAATTTGGAAAATCCGACTAAATCAAGACAAATCACAGCACATCGCATTTACGCTTCGACACGAAATATGCCCTCCAGTTTTCCTTGACAATACACAGATTCCACAGACAGACACCGTTCACTACCTTGGTCTGACATTTGACAGAAAAATGACGTGGGGTCCACATATAATCAAAAAAACGAAAAACGTTAAATCGAAGATTAAGAATTCACAGTTCACTTCTTTCGAAAAATTCAAAACTAAAACTTAGACAGAAATTGAACACATACAATTACTTACTAAAACCTATTTGGACTTACGCATCACAGATATTTGGAACTGCTAAAAAGACTCACTTAAACAAACTTCAAAACTTTCAAGCAAAAACATTCAGAACAATTACAAAAGCACCTTGGTACGTTACCAACATAACCTTACATACTGACCTCCATATGCCGACTGTTAACGAACACATACGAACAAACGATTCCATGACAACTTACAAGGACATCCTAATACACTTATAAATGACATGGCCACTACGAATATGCCAGGTAACGTCTGTAGAAGACTGAAGAGGAGCTGGATGAGGGACCTCCTCGCCTAATGTAGATATCACGCCGAGTGAGGTGCCACTGGGCATTGATCCTCCTCATGCCTTTCATGACATTATATTTAGCAATCGATCTATTGAAAATTAATTTTTTTTTTAACACCTGTTGTAATAGAAATGACAATCAGTGAATTAGATGTACAGCGACACTTTCTCACAAAAGCACCTTGATACGTTAGCAACATAAACTTACACACTGACCTTAGAAACAATGACACCCCAACATACACATAAATGAAAATTAATATTAAACAATAATTTAACTCAAAATAGTTTAACTTTGAGAATAACTAATATTCTAAATATTTAACAATATCGATTTTCATGGTCAAATCTTTTTCATTGTAAGATTGGCGACGGAATAAAAAATAATTAATAAAAACTTAACTATTGTCGCATATTTAAAACATATTCTTATTGCTTTACTTTATTTCTTCTTTTTATTATTATAGGACTGAGGAACATATGAGGAGAACTACAAGCTATTCACAAGGATTTTCTGGTCTCTGGAACCATCCACTTCTTGCAGATCTTCAGGACTACGAAACCTTCCACCTCTTATGGTGCGAGGTCAGTGGAGTATTATTCTATTTATGCACTATGGCCTTTTCGATCAAACGTTATTAAGCCATCAAACGATCTTTTAAAAGAATATAGTTAATTATTTTAATTGTATATTTCACGCAATTTTATTTATCTCATTTTTCATTTATTTGGCTATTAAAATTTTATTATTATAAATTGATTAGAAATTTTACGATAGAGGCCATAGTCACTACCCACTTCGGACATTGCATGTCGATATATTTTTATTACTAGGTAATAAAACATTCATAAAATATTTCATTCAGCCGTCTCTATTGCAAGAACGTTTGCATGTTTGATTATTATAGTCCTTTATGGTCTGAATTTTTATTGCTGTATTTACGCTTCTATATTTCATTCAATAGAATTTTATTATTATTTAAACGATCCAGTTTCATTACACTGGTATGATATATACCACTGCAATTCCATTTAATTATAGGATCAATTCAAATTCATTTTTAAGACATTAGGGAGTTATGAAAAAATTGTTAGAAAAATTCATACGTCCATAGTGGGTAGTGTTGCTGCATGAAGCATGCGCATGCGCGTGATATATTTTTTATATCTTCATCATCAGACCTCCTCTCACAGATAGATTTATAAATCAATAGTATATTTTTA